TTAAACATATTGATTCTTTTATTGTGTTCTCGTTTGGATAGGTAGATGAACATGTTTGATTACATTCTTATTTTACTTATATAAGCAAGGAGAGAGGAAAAGTGTCAAGACTCCTTGTAAGTAAAATAAGCAAGCACTTAAATGTGCTCTGGATTGTGTTTCATTTGTTCCATCTGATGTTGCCATGAAAAAATATGAAATACTTACTACCCCAAAAGACACAATTTGGCTAGTTATTTATTTGGTTTCAATTTTAGAAGTATGTTCAATTTTTAGCATTAGAGTGGGAGATGAATGCCCATTAAAGTTTGATCTGGTGTATGTATAGCAATGTACGTCTTGATAAGAAATGTAGTACTTAACGGTGCAGGGATGTTGATTGGTTGTTCTCCAAGGCCATAAGTTGATCACTTTTAATCCATTTCCCGCAGCTAATTTCCCGACCTTTTTATCTCTCATTACATGGTTCCCCTGCCCCTAGGAGAAAACGAGAAAACATAAAATAAATGAAGTTGAAAACCTATTCTAAAGTTTGAGTTAATCCTGAGAGGTACCTCAGTGGTCAGACATTGGGTTTACTCCCCAATAGTCACCAATTCGAGTCATATCAGGTTTATTGAACTAAGTATCTGGCTGTAAACTTCAGGACCCTGTGGGATTAGTTGAGGTGCGCGTAAGCTGGCCCAAAGATCATAAAAAAAAGTTTGAGTTGAAGTTCTTTTGTTTGATCTAAGACCTGATGCAAAGTGGAGATGGTTATGGTACATCATTTTGCTAGTTAACACCTTAAGAAAGAGTAAAAAGGAGAAATAATGACAAGGTTATATAATATGGTTATTCTTATGCTTTGTTTGACATGATAAGCTTTACTCGTGTCTATGTAACTTACATATGACTGAGTGCAATTTCCAATCCATCGTCATTTGATTACTTTTTCTGTCAACTCCCCTTTTTACCAAAGTAACTAGTACCAGACTCTTCTTCTGGTCCATTGTAGTAATAGCATGAAGAACATAATGTACTTTCCAAAAATATTTAATATTCACTCAAAATTTAAGCAATTCACAAACTTCAAAACTCTTATCACCTCAATGTTATTGCTAGCCATTGTGTAATAAGAGCTGTTTTGCCCAATCTTATGGTGTTTTGACTTGTAAGATCTTGCTGGATGGTAGCAACGATTCAGCAACTGTTTCTAAGGTTTTAGTTCCACGCATTTAGCTCAATTTTTATTTAATCAGCTCAGTGCGTGTTCTCATTGTTACAGAGGCTTAGCAGAATGTGGCCCAGATTAATTGTGGTGTTTTGACCTGAAATGTTCTTTTAGAATGTAGTGATATTTGAAAAGACTATGCTATTAATCATTAATGAAGATTATCGTCGGTCTAGGTAGCAATTGATCCTGTAATTCATTGTCAAATGGAGCTGTGATGCATTTTAATGCATTGGACAATGAATTAAGGGGTTCATTGTTACTTTGACTAATAATGATCTCTACTAATGATGAATAACATTATTCAATTGAAAATTTGTTTTCCAGGGTCCAGTTATTTGCTCTACTTTATAGGTATTAAGCTCATTTTAATATTGTAACTCTATGTTGTATTTATTCTTTGTGCAGAAGATGGGCAAGATACTAGGTCCCATATCTCAATTTAAAGATGTTATCGTTGGTGGCCATCAACGGGGTTCATTTGTCCGTGGGAGCAACTATGCAGAACTTTAAGACGATGACAAAAAAATTGAGAGGGCGAGAAGGTTTAGTGTATGTGACATTCTATTTCATTTTTTATACGGATTTTTCTTGTGACTAAGCTTGTTGATATCGTCGCGGGGTTTCTATGTGTAAGCTTCGGGGTAAAGTTTGGTGCACAAATTGAGAAAGATACTACATTAGTTATTTATGATCAAATATCTTATTTGCTCGGTGAATTCTTGCTCCTATGGCGATTCAATAAGCATGAAGCGTAACACTCCTATTGGGATAGAGTGTTTGTGTTTACAATGTGTTGGAAAGTGGACATTAATACTCTTTAGACACGTGTCTTAAACGTCACCCAACATTCTCATTTTTGTAAAGAATAATACTATATATATCTGAGCATTACCACAAGTACTGTTTACCATTCGATGATTTGACGTCAATTGATTTGTCATCTTAAGTTCTACATCTAAACAGCCATGCTATATGTACACTCTCCTTCATACCTTGGTTGATACTCTTCCATATGGATCCATCAAAACCATTTATTTTGAATCCATCGATCACATCACTGCACACATTTCTTTCACATAGGAGAGAATGTCAACAAAGGTGTAAAACACAATGTACTACTCGCATAAGTCACATCTAAATTGCAAATCAATTACAGCAATCTGAATGTCATGTCACTGCTTGTAGGTAATCAGTAATGATAAATAACATTATTCTATTTATCTCCATTAGAACTGATCACCTGTATACGTTATAAAATGATAAGATCAGTTAAATGTATGGACAAAATTCATTTTATTGGTCTTGTTATTTAATGATATATCACATGGTGATTATCCTAGTGGGATATATAACCCTTTGGTTCACTCTAATTATTGACATGTGAAGGAATGAACAAGATTAGAGACATGAATATTACTCAATTTTTATTTATTTGTTTTGGGGACACTTGAGGGATACTTTAATGCAGTTATTACCACTTGTGATAATCACCTGTGTAGGTGTACTGAGGTTGGATTTGAGGAGATAATGTTTCATTGAAAAATATAGCAGTAATCTCACCTTTACATGGACAGACTTCAGATAAATAATATTATTCACTTTCTTATTTATTTGATGGTAATATTTGTACTTTAACTTGCTTTGATTTTAATCCATAGAATGCACGCTCATTTGCTTATATTTAGCAATTCAACTATACATTTTAATGGACCACTCCAATATTATTATTTATTCGTTATTTATTTCTATTTATTTAAAAATTAATTCATTTATAAATTCTTCCAAACGAAAGGCAAAAGTAAGATTAGTATTATTTTGTGTAAATTAAAATTTAAAAAAAGAAAAAACGAAAAATATTGGCGTATAATTTTAAAGAACTTAAGCTGATGTGTCCTGGCGTCATTCTAAACTTGTCGTAAACTAGTGAAAGAATCAACAATCAACCTAATGAGACCCTATTTAAACGATTACTAATTTATAACTTTCAGTTAATTGTCTTTTTATTTATTTATTTATTTTTTGTCGAATTGATGAAAGCTGAAATTTATTTTAGATGCTTCAGTCTACTATAAAATAGGACAGAAGTTTCGGTTAAAATATTAAAGATGGCAGATCCTAAATAAATAAATAAATAATAATAAAATATAAAATGAAATACATAAATAAATAAAAAATTCATAGTCCGAATTTTGTGTAGCAACAATGGGTAGCACTCCTATTTTCCTCACGCTACAATTATCAGAAGCATCATGAATAATTTATTATATCACTCGTGTCACCGTTAGCAGGGACGATTTTTTATTTTTTTCGAGGGTGGGGAAGCTGGGCAAGTTTTTATTTATTTATTATTATTATTCTTTTACGTATTAACCCAGTTTGAAATTTTTTAGTCCAGTATTGGATCCGTCCTTGCGTATTAGTCTGATTATATGTAAGTTCTTCAATATACATCTACATACGTTATCAAATTCGTTTTTCAATCCAATTAGTTTCTATCAGAATAATAATATATAATATATAAGAAGCCAAGATTCATAATATATATATATATACGGCTAATTTCATCACCAATGTTATACATTAGACATCATATCAATGTCAATCTTATCTCAACAACAATTCAAAAAAGCGTGTCACTTTTTCTTATAAATAAAAAGTGAGACAATGTCATTTTTAAATATGAGACCCCTACTTATGTTTCATGAGTGCGTGATTAAATTTAATAAATTCGGAAGACGTGATGAGACATTAATCTTAACTCTCATTGGATCGAGACTTGCATTAAAGCCGACCAATAATAATACACTTCAAATAGAAAAAAAATGCTTCTCATTTATTTTCCCGACCTTGTTCAATGCAAAATATTGAAACTCGTGGACGTGCGATCAATAACACGATATTAAAGTTGTCCTGTTTGCCAAGAGAGTCTCGTGTAATAAAATTTGATTTCAACTTGCCTATCAACGTAGATTTTCTATTGAATTTGAATGTCATGGGAATTAATTTCATTAAATTGATTATGAATAACTTAAGTCGAAGCCAAAATGTAAGCTAATATCTATGAGTGATGCTCTTTAGTACTGTGATATTCAACACTAGTACATGTGGTAATGGAATCTCTGTCACATTATCAATGTATTGAATAATGTGACGATGACTATACTATCCAGTGAAGCTGCGTATCATTATTTAGTAAGTGTATTGCACTATTATATCCTAATATTAAGAGTGTGTTTGTCACCCATTATTTGGGAAGAATGTATTATGAAATAGTGGTTGATGTTGAAATGTGTTGTTAAAAAAGAAAGAAAAATTTTTGATTTACGTATAATATTATTTTAATGAAGAATGTGTGATTAAAAATGAGTATTGTAAAAAAAAAAATAGGATAAAATGGAAAAGAATGATCGACAAACAGGGGCTAAGTGAAGAATGTCAAGTAAAGATCAGTAGCCTTACATGGAGAAAAAAAAGTGATTTTTGTTGTAACTTTTTATTTTTATATTTACATTAAATCAAGAAAGAAACCCTGCTTAAATTTTGAAAGTGATAAATTCCTAAAACTTATTCTAAAGAATATTTCTACATTTGTTAAATGGAAAGTTTAATTTTACATTTAAATGAATATATCGTACCGTTACTGGTGCCAGTTAAATTGGTTGACATTACTTTGCTAAAATTAGAACATTACCTGGGAATAGTTGAAAATGAAATAATAGAAATTACCACAGTGATTTTGATTAATTCCATGGCGGATTTATTGTTTTCACTGTGGAGTCAATCAAACGAACCCAATAATCCAACCATAACCACCATTTCAGCTACTCCTTTCTTAAAAGCTTTTTATATTTGTCAAAAAAATGAAAAATGGGTACAGAAACCCATAATGAAGGCGAATTGGATTAGATCGAAAACTATCGAAGAAAAATGTAAGAAAGAGACAAAGGAGGTTACAATAGTGGGTGGCTGGGTGCAGAGGTGACATGGGATACAAATGTCATAGCGTGCACATGGAGAAGAACTATGGCAGATTGGGCTCATGCTTGACACCTGTTCCCTGTTTCGAGCCCTATTCGGTCATCACAAAGCCACTTACTTGTGAGTTTTTGGGTCTTTGAAAAGTGTGATGCGAACCCACCGTTTCTTCCTTTTCAGCTGCACACAAATTGTCTTTACATCTAAGCGTTACAATTGAAGACCCTCGGAATTTGGGAATCGTAGGAACCCTATTCTTTCTGCAGTTTGAATGCAAATGCGAGGTAATTTTTATTTTTTATATTTCTGCTTTTGTCGTGGGTTATTGAATCTGGCGGGAGTTGGGATATTTGACGTAAAGATTTGACTTTGTTTTTGGTTCATATGTGGGTTCTGATTTGGGAATGGGAAATTTTATGGTGGGATTTGCTGAGAATTTTGGAATTTTGTTTATTTTGAGAAGTGGAGGTTAGTGTAGCTCTGTATTTACCCGTGTCCGTGTATCTTTACTTTTAGGTATAATTTCTCAGATTGAATCCTTTATTATTTGATAATCACTTGTTATTTTTCGTTTATGGATTCAGGCGCATTTACATTTGTAAATTTTAGA